TTGTTCCTGTTATTGTCAATGTTGTTCCTGTTGTTATTGTTCCTGTTTGTCAATGTTGTTCCTGTTGTTATTGTCACTGTTGTTCCTGTTGTTATTGTCACTGTTGTTCCTGTTGTTATTGTCACTGTTGTTCCTGTTGTTATTGTCACTGTTGTTCCTGTTGTTATTGTTACTGTTGTTCCTGTTGTTATTGTCACTGTTGTTCCTGTTGTTATTGTCACTGTTGTTCCTGTTGTTATTGTCACTGTTGTTCCTGTTGTTATTGTCACTGTTGTTCCTGTTGTTATTGTTACTGTTGTTCCTGTTGTTATTGTCACTGTTGTTCCTGTTGTTATTGTCAATGTTGTTCCTGTTGTTATTGTCACTGTTGTTCCTGTTGTTCCTGTTGTTATTGTCACTGTTGTTCCTGTTGTTATTGTTGTTCCTGTTGTTATTGTTCCTGTTGTTATTGTCACTGTTGTTCCTGTTGTTATTGTCACTGTTGTTCCTGTTGTTCCTGTTGTTATTGTCACTGTTGTTCCTGTTGTTATTGTTGTTCCTGTTGTTATTGTTGTTCCTGTTGTTATTGTTCCTGTTGTTATTGTCACTGTTGTTCCTGTTTGTTATTGTCACTGTTGTTCCATTTGTTCCTGTTGTTATTGTTGTTCCTGTTGTTATTTTCACTGTTGTTCCTGTTGTTATTTTCACTGTTGTTCCTGTTGTTATTGTTCCTGTTGTTACTGTCACTGTTGTTCCTGTTGTTATTGTGATTGTTTAATTGGTTGGTTTATTTATTTACTATTTTGTCTCCTCCCCTTTAAGGTCCTTTTGCAGATGGTTTTACTGTACACAGTTTGTCACTGTATTACATCTTGTATTTCTGTCATTTTTACCCCCATTTAGATTAATGCCAATATAACCCCACCCAACGCACGCACACACACACACACAGACACACAAACACGCACACGCACCTACACATACACAAATACACACACACGCACACACACACACACGCGCAAACACAAAAACACACACATACACACACAAACACACACATACACACACGCACACACACACACACACACCTAAATTCAGTTATATTTATATATTTGTTTAAGTCCTTTCTATAACTAATATTATTATTGTTTGTATTGCTTGCTTATTGACTGTTCCTATGTATATGTTGGTGAGTAAAAAGTCTTAAAAAAACAAAACAAACACTGTATTGATCACATCATTAAAAGAACATTTTCCCCTGTTTTGTTCATCCAACTGTTTCACCAGGAAGTTAGAAAGAAAATAATAACACAGCTCTTTTTACCGTCATAGATTATTCTCTTACCATTTACCAAAACACACATGACTCATACCTCAAACCTTTAAACACATCCATTAACTGTCTTTGCAGATTCTCAAGTGTCCATATCGAACACATCACTGCAATTTATCTGAAAAACTGGTCACAACCAAACAGCAGACGTCATCTGGATGCAGTTTATTTTCAAATGTATTTATTTTAACTCTCCCCAATGTTTACAACAAACCAAAGGAAGGTTTCTCACCCATCATCTGTACTTCTTAGCAAGTTTTCCCGACGTTTCGTCCTCAATCCAGAGGACTTCTTCAGGGAATGAATTCTCAGACCGCGTGTTGGAGATTCATAACCTATGGTGTGGTCGGGAAACGTCGGGAAAACTTGCAAAGAAGTACAGATGATGGGTGAGAAACCTTCCTTTGCTTTGACTAATCCCTGTACGACTGAGGGCTTACACAAATTTACAAGAAACCGTTTTTTTGTCCCCAATTCACCATCAGATTCACTCAGAAGCACTGACTCCCACACCTTTTCTGTTCCAAGAATCCATAAAGAAGTCGGAAGTAGATCATTTTCATACAAGGCTCCATCTGATTGGAATAAGTTACCCACATTCATAAGATACAAAAAGGAGAGGCAGGGGCCGTACCTTTGAATGGAGGTAGTCACAGTTTATACTGTACAGTGCCTTGTGAAAGTATTCGCCCCCCTTGAACCTTTCAACATTTCGCCACATTTCAGGCTTCAAACATAAAGATATAAAAAATATTTTTTTTGACAAGAATCAACAACAAGTGGGACACAATCGTGAAGTGGAACGACATTTATTGGATAATTTAAACTTTTGTAACAAATAAAAAACTGAAAAGTGGGGCGTGCAATATTATTCGGCCCCCTTGTGTCAATACTTTGTAGCGTGATGCATATCTCAAAAAAGCTGACACACAAAAACACATGTGACAATATGACCTATTGAACTCTGGGTTGGAGGGCAATCTTCTCATCCATCAGAGGTGTCTTCTTTTGTGGGACCAAGTCAACACAGCTGCTTGTTTTCTCTCCTCGTCCTTCACTCTTATCTGGGGGCTGAGGGAGTTCTGCATTCTTCGCCACCCTCGATGCGCAGAGAAGAATGTGGAGGAGGGGGAAACCAGACAAAGGCCAGACCAGACCAGAGTCCAGACCGAGACCAGGAACTGGCTGATACGACACGCCCCTTCTGCACATTATACTTATACTGATTTTAGTGATGTTTGAGAGTCAGTCAGATAGGGTGAGCCCATAGGGAAGAGAGCAGAAATAGTTAGGGTAGGAGCTTTTTGAATTTCTGTATCTGATTGTAAAGATAAATTAAATACAGATGTTTAACTTGGAAATCTTCGTCTTGTTTTCTGCATCAAATTCTGACACACGCTAAAGGTTTTTTTTAGACAATAAGCGCCACCTTTAGCTGTAATTACAGCTGCAAGTCGCTTGGGGTATGTCTCTATCAGTTTTGCACATCAAGAGACTGGAATTCTTGCCCATTCTTCCTTGCAAAACAGCTCGAGCTCAGTGAGGTTGGATGGAGAGCGTTTGTGAACAGCAGTCTTCAGCTCTTTCCACAGATTCTCGATTGGATTCAGGTCTGGACTTTGACTTGGCCATTCTAACACCTGGATACGTCTATTTGTGAACCATTCCATTGTAGATTTGGCTTTATGTTTTGGATCATTGTCCTGTTGGAAGATAAATCTCCGTCCCAGTCTCAGGTCTTTTGCAGACTCCAACAGGTTTTCTTCCAGAATGGTCCTGTATTTGGCTCCATCCATCTTCCCATTAACTTTAGCCATCTTCCCTGTCCCTGCTGAAGAAAAGCAGGCCCAAAGCATGATGTTGCCACCACCATGTTTGACAGTGGGGATGGTGTGTTCAGGGTGATGAGCTGTGTTGCTTTTACGCCAAACATATCGTTTTCATTGTGGCCAAAAAGTTCGATTTAGGTTTCATCTGACCAGAGCACCTTCTTCCACATGTTTGGTGTGTCTCCCAGGTGGCTTGTGGCAAACTTTAAACAAGACTTTTTATGGATATCTTTGAGAAATGGCTTTCTTCTTGCCACTCTTCCATAAAGGCCAGATTTGTGCAGTGCACGACTGATTGTTGTCCTATGGACAGACTCTCCCACCTCAGCTGTAGTTATCTGCAGTTCATCCAGAGTGATCATGGGCCTCTCTGATCAGTCTTCTCCTTGTTTGAGATGAAAGTTTGGAGGGACGGCCGGGTCTTGGTAGATTTGCAGTGGTCTGATACTCCATCCATTTCAATATAATTGCTTGCACAGTGCTCCTTGAGATGTTTAGACAAAAAATCTTTTTGTATCCAAATCCGGCTTTAAACTTCTCCACAACAGTATCTCGGACCTGCCTGGTGTGTTCCTTTGTCTTCATGGTTCTCTCTGCGCTTTAAACAGAACCCTGAGACTATCAAAGAGCAGGTGCATTTATACGGAGACTTGATTACACACAGGTGCATTCTATTTATCATCATCAGTCATTTAGGACAACATTGGATCATTCAAAGATCCTCACTGAAACTCTCGACTGAGTTTGCTGCACTGAAAGTAAAGAGGCCGAATAATATTGCACGCCCCACTTTTCAGTTTTTTATTTGTTAAAAAAGTTTAAATTATCCAATAAATTTTGTTCCACTTCACGATTGTGTCCCACTTGTTGTTGATTCATGACAAAAAATTAAAATTTTATATCTTTATGTTTGAAGCCTGAAATGTGGCGAAATATTGAAAGGTTCAAGGGGGGCGAATACTTTCGCAAGGCACTGTATGTCGACAATTACAGTTGACGCTTTATACAACGCAAGCCCAGATATTATTTTGATCTTCCCACAGTGGGGGATTTCTGTTTGTGCAAAACAATCAGACATGACTCATACCTCAAACCTTTTTAACACACCCATCAACTGTCTTTGCAGATTCTCAAGTGTCTCTTGTATCACTCAGGTGGATTCTGAGGCACAGATCTGCAGCCGCTGAGACCTGCACCAGACTCGTGACCTGTTCAAGTGAGTATCTGTTTTAAACTCTCCACGAAAGTGCAGAGTATTCCAATATGTGTGTCTTATGTCTGCGCTGAGGTTCTGCAGGTTATTTACTCTTGTATCAGAATGCAAAAAAGACAGCTGCCTGAAAAGTTTGCTAAGCAGGTCTGCATTTAATTTATTTTATTAGAGGTCATTGTGACCATTCTAATCCTTGATCCAGTCGCCTTTAACAATCCACATCTGCACAGAAACTGTCTGTTTGTATCACCGTGAGAACCTATTTCACTCTCCACAATGGCTATGCTCCAGACATCAACAAGTCTCTCGAGCCGTTTCAATTTTACGTGACTACTTACTTTGATTCTAAAATTGGCAAACTTCAATTGGGGCGGATTAATATACAGGAATCTTTGAGTAGAATGAACGAGCAGATGTCTTGTATGGAAAAAAGAGTAAGCGAGTGACGTGTCTTGAGAAGGAAGACACTTACCTGAGAGACAAAGTAGAAGATCTCCGTTTCCTGTGGATCCTAGAGAAAGGATTCTGACACGATTGTCTTCATTCAGAAGTTGCTCCCATGACAAAACAATCTGACTTCATCGCTGACCCAGACCGATGTTGGTCAAGTTCCCTAATGACAAGATTAAGCTTCTTCGTCTGGCCCATGATAAAGGAGAGCTACAGTTTGGAGGTTTGCGAGTGCACATTTTCCCGGATTACAGAGGAGGAAACTCCGAGAGGTGAACATCAAACATGCTCTCCAGTATCCAGCCTCGCTCCATGTCACTGTAGATGGGAAGTCGATTTTGTTCCGCTGTCCCGAGGATGCAGACACTTTCCTCGAGAGTCAGAGTGGATCTTTGTGAACAGTAACTACTTCATAACGGCTCGTTATGACTCTAGTTGTATGACTCTTCCATATGTGACCCTAAATCACTGTCATTATCCGAGCCACTTGCTGCAGTCGCATTTTGTCGTAAAATTGCTGCCGTTGTCGCAAAGAAGTGACATTAACCAAGACTTTAATGATAGAAGTTATCGAACATGTTTGACATCGCTTATTGAACTCTTATCAGTATTTTCTCATATAGTTTATCTAGATGCTCGAGGTGTTGCTCTGTGAAGATTCTTGTGTGTGTGTGTGTGTGTGTGTGTGTGTGTGTGTGTGTGTGTGTGTGTGTGTGTGTGTGTGTGTGTGTGTGTGTGTGTGTGTGTGTGTGTGTGTGTGTGTGTGCAAAGAATCTGAACAACCGCTAAAATATTCTGGGCTCAACTCGACCAAGTTTTATCCAACAAATGCATCTTTGAGAAAGGGGTTCCCCAGGGCTCCGCTTTAGGCCCCCTTCTGTCTTTGCAGATTCTCAAGTGTCCATATCAAACACATCACTGCAATTTATCTGAAAAACTGGTTACAACCAAACAGCAGACGTCATCTGGATGCAGTTTATTTTCAAATGTATTTATTTTAACTCTCCCCAAAGTTTACAACAAACCGTTTTTTGTCCCCAATTCACCATCATATTCACTCAGAAGCACTGACTCCCACACCTTTTCTGTTCCAAGAATCCATAAAGAAGTCGGAAGTATCACACAGCGCCTTAATGGCCACGCTTCGCCACGCTATCTGACAAAACAATTTCCAAGTGGTAACTTTGTTTGTTACTTACGTGGCAATAAAAATGATTCTGATTCTGAAGTAGATCCTTTTCATACAAGGCTCCATCTGATTGGAATAAGTTGCCCACATTCATAAGATCCTCAACCTCCTTTGGCTTATTTAAATCAGAATTATCTAGATATCTTACAACTCCCTGTTCATGTTTCTAGCTGTTCTTTTACTTTTTATTTTATTTTGTAAATACCTGTATGTACATGTGAAGTTGTATTATCCTACCTGCTGCTGTATGTATGGCCTGTATCTGACTTTTGTATACAGAGATTTGTATATGTTTTCTGAATGTAGTATTACTGTAGGGCAGGGCATCCACATACCGAACGTACATTCATAACATTCCAAACATGTGCGTCTCTGACGACCTGTGTTGGGGAAAAACATAGAAGTGGGCGGAGCTTCTATGCAGACGCCGGTACTTCTAGCGGCACTTTTACAGTCAAAGAAGAAACTCAGGGTGAAGACATGTTATTATAGATCCACGGTGAAGCCATACAGTACATTATGTTTACAAGCACTGACCCTCAGCCCTGGTTTAGTCCTGGTTTAGTCCTGGTTTAGTCCTGGTTTAGCTCCTGGTTTGGTTGTTTTCGAGCGTGAGTCCCTGTGATCACTTTGCTGCTCTCTGATGTGGAGCGAACAGTTTTTAAGGCAGTAAGATCCTTCTTCAGTGATCAGAGGTTGCATGTTTTGTTAGTTGTTGTTTTGGAGGCATACTGTGACGTGCGAAAACACAGAACTCCAGTTATCTCTGTCCACACGCAAATGCATAAATAGAGTTTTTTTTTATGTAATTCGATCTACCAATACTACCTTTGAGATGGACTGGTAGATCACGATCAACGTATTGAGCACCCCTGCTGTAGGGGGTGGGATCTGAAGGAGAAACCTGGGTGTTAAATGTGTGTTAATTGGTTGTATTGTGATTAAACGTTTTGATCAAAATAAATCTCATGATTTCCCTGATTAATTGTGATTAATCACATTTTTATTCGCAAAAAACAATTCAAAAGTAGTGTATAGCACAATTTTATTTTAAATGTTCTAGCATATGAACAAAAGTGCCATAATATTTGTTCTGCAAACACTTCACATCAGCGTTTTGTTTATACAGTAGCAGTTAAATAAAAACTGCCCACAAAATCCTGAGTCACAATCATAACATTAAAACAGGCAATAATAGAAACAGGTAACAGCAGAAAAAAAACATTTAATCAGGGAGCAGCATACGCAGTCTTGGTTCAGTTCCAAATGTTCCTGAGTGAGGTGAAGCACAAACAAAAAGTTAACTGCTGGGATTTACTATGCAGGGACATAATCTGTAAATATGCTGAATTTTCTTTGGAGAATCTCAAAAAAGAAAAAGAAAACACTAAAACTTGACTTACTCATCTGCACTAAGCCAGTTGCTAAGGCACACAAGATTATTCACATTTTCAGATGATAAAGAAGCTCTCCTTTTCTGTACAATATGACCAGCAAGAGAAAATAAGCTTTCACAGAGTACGGAGGTTGCAGGTGTAGATACAGGCTGCACCTCCTGCTGCACCTCCTGCTTCATCCTGACCAACACAGATACAGGCTGCACCTCCTGCTTCATCCTGACCAACACAGATACAGGCTGCACCTCCTGCTTCATCCTGACCAACACAGATACAGGCTGCACCTCCTGCTTCATCCTGACCAACACAGATACAGGCTGCACCTCCTGCTTCATCCTGACCAACACAGATACAAGCTGCACCTCCTGCTTCATCCTGACCAACACAGATACAGGCTGCACCTCCTGCTTCATCCTGACCAACACAGATACAGGCTACACCTCCTGCTTCATCCTGACCAACACAGATACAGGCTGCACCTCCTGCTTCATCCTGACCAACACAGATACAAGCTGCACCTCCTGCTTCATCCTGACCAACACAGATACAGGCTGCACCTCCTGCTTCATCCTGACCAACACAGATACAGGCTGCACCTCCTGCTTCATCCTGACCAACACAGATACAGGCTGCACCTCCTGCTTCATCCTGACCAACACAGATACAGGCTGCACCTCCTGCTTCATCCTGACCAACCCAAATACAAGCTGCACCTCCTGCTTCATCCTGACCAACACAGATACAGGCTGCACCTCCTGCTTCATCCTGACCAACACAGATACAGGCTGCACCTCCTGCTTCATCCTGACCAACACAGATACAAGCTGCACCTCCTGCTTCATCCCGACCAACACAGATACAGGCTGCACCTCCTGCTTCATCCTGACCAACACAGATACAGGCTGCACCTCCTGCTTCATCCTGACCAACACAGATACAGGCTGCACCTCCTGCTTCATCCTGACCAACCCAGATACAAGCTGCACCTCCTGCTTCATCCTGACCAACCCAGATACAAGCTGCACCTCCTGCTTTATCCTGACCAACACAGATACAGGCTGCACCTCCTGCTTCATCCTGACCAACACAGATACAGGCTGCACCTCCTGCTTCATCCTGACCAACCCAGATACAAGCTGCACCTCCTGCTTCATCCTGACCAACCCAGATACAAGCTGCACCTCCTGCTTCATCCTGACCAACACAGATACAGGCTGCACCTCCTGCTTCATCCTGACCAACACAGATACAGGCTGCACCTCCTGCTTCATCCTGACCAACCCAGATACAAGCTGCACCTCCTGCTTCATCCTGACCAACCCAGATACAAGCTGCACCTCCTGCTTCATCCTGACCAACACAGATACAGGCTGCACCTCCTGCTTCATCCTGACCAACCCAGATACAAGCTGCACCTCCTGCTTCATCCTGACCAACCCAGATACAAGCTGCACCTCCTGCTTCATCCTGACCAACACAGATACAGGCTGCACCTCCTGCTTCATCCTGACCAACACAGATACAGGCTGCACCTCCTGCTTCATCCTGACCAACACAGATACAAGCTGCACCTCCTGCTTCATCCTGACCAACACAGATACAAGCTGCACCTCCTGCTTCATCCTGACCAACCCAGATACAAGCTGCACCTCCTGCTTCATCCTGACCAACACAGATACAAGCTGCACCTCCTGCTTCATCCTGACCAACCCAGATACAAGCTGCACCTCCTGCTTTATCCTGACCAACCCAGATACAGGCTGCACCTCCTGCTTCATCCTGACCAACACAGATACAGGCTGCACCTCCTGCTTCATCCTGACCAACACAGATACAAGCTGCACCTCCTGCTTCATCCTGACCAACCCAGATACAAGCTGCACCTCCTGCTTTATCCTGACCAACACAGATACAGGCTGCACCTCCTGCTTCATCCTGACCAACACAGATACAGGCTGCACCTCCTGCTTCATCCTGACCAACACAGATACAGGCTGCACCTCCTGCTTCATCCTGACCAACACAGATACAGGCTGCACCTCCTGCTTCATCCTGACCAACACAGATACAGGCTGCACCTCCTGCTTCATCCTGACCAACACAGATACAGGCTGCACCTCCTGCTTCATCCTGACCAACACAGATACAGGCTGCACCTCCTGCTTCATCCTGACCAACACAGATACAAGCTGCACCTCCTGCTTCATCCTGACCAACACAGATACAAGCTGCACCTCCTGCTTCATCCTGACCAACCCAGATACAAGCTGCACCTCCTGCTTCATCCTGACCAACACAGATACAAGCTGCACCTCCTGCTTCATCCTGACCAACCCAGATACAAGCTGCACCTCCTGCTTTATCCTGACCAACCCAGATACAGGCTGCACCTCCTGCTTCATCCTGACCAACACAGATACAGGCTGCACCTCCTGCTTCATCCTGACCAACACAGATACAAGCTGCACCTCCTGCTTCATCCTGACCAACCCAGATACAAGCTGCACCTCCTGCTTTATCCTGACCAACACAGATACAGGCTGCACCTCCTGCTTCATCCTGACCAACACAGATACAGGCTGCACCTCCTGCTTCATCCTGACCAACACAGATACAGGCTGCACCTCCTGCTTCATCCTGACCAACACAGATACAGGCTGCACCTCCTGCTTCATCCTGACCAACACAGATACAGGCTGCACCTCCTGCTTCATCCTGACCAACACAGATACAGGCTGTTTGTGCACAACAATCAGAGGCATTGACCATGTCCTAAAAGCAGTGTAACCAGTTAAATTAATGAAGAAGGAAATGTTTTCTTCCGGCTCAGAAAGAATAAATCTGTATCAAAGGTGGATTCTGAGGCACAGATCTGCAGCCGCTGAGACCTGCACCAGACTGACCTGTTCAAGTGAAACTGAAACTGGAAGCAGACTGTCTGTGTGTGTGTGTGTGTGTGTGTGTGTGTGTGTGTGTGTGTGTGTGGGTGTGGGTGTGTGTGTGGGTGTGGGTGTGTTTCTCTCAGGTGTAACGATGTGTGTGTGTTTTTCTCTCAGATGTAACGATGTGTGTGTGTGTGTGTTTCTCTCAGGTAACGATGTATGTGTGTATTTCTCTCAGATGTAACGATGTGTGTGTGTGTGTTTCTCTCAGGTGTAAAGTTGTGTGTGTGTTTCTCTCAGGTAAAGATGTGTGTGTGTGTTTCTCTCAGGTGTAACGATGTGTGTGTTTCTCTCAGATGTAACGATGTGTTTGTGTGTGTGTTTCTATCAGGTGTAAAGTTGTGTGTGTGTTTCTCTCAGGTAAAGATGTGTGTGTGTGTTTCTCTCAGGTGTAACGATGTGTGTGTTTCTCTCAGATGTAACGATGTGTGTGTGTGTGTGTTTCTATCAGGTGTAAAGTTGTGTGTGTGTTTCTCTCAGGTAAAGATGTGTGTGTGTGTTTCTCTCAGGTGTAACGATGTGTGTGTTTCTCTCAGATGTAACGATGTGTGTGTGTGTGTGTTTCTATCAGGTGTAAAGTTGTGTGTGTGGTTCTCTCAGGTAAAGATGGCCGCTGTGAGCAGTGACCCGCTGCAGATGCCGGCTCTGGGACGTCCCTTCAATCTGGGGATGTTGTACGACGCCAGAACAGACAAACTGATCCCAGGTCAGTGACTTCTACACATCTTATTATTATTTTAGTATAACCTTTGTGATAAGGCGCCTACAAAAGTATTTAATTTCAACGGTGCGCCTTATTATCCGGTGCGCCCAATGTACGAATTTCTGACTGTGCCAAAAGGCAAAAGTCCGAGCCGCACTGAAGCCGCATGCGTCACCTGTGAAAGAATGAAACGCAAATACATCAGATCGCACCGAACAAAAAAAAAAAAAAAAAAACATACACGGAAGCGCAAGTGTGTCCTGACGCATTTTTTTTTATATTTTGGGAAAGCGTTCCTAAACCCTAAAAGTAGTAAAGTTATCATTTGCTTTCAAATAGTAATGAAATGGACCAAATGCATGTAGTCTCCAAAAATGAATAAAAATAAACCAATGGGATGCGTTTACCTCAAGCCCCGGCGATCCAAGATGGCGCCGTATTCAACTCAATGGTTGTCCTCAGTGGCGCTTTGTGACGCCATGGGGGCTGAAAGATTAGGGGAAGTCGCCTGGAACTCGCAAAGATCTATGGGAAACTTGCCTGTATTTGGGCATCGTCTGGTCCTCCCGGTTCTGCGCAGTGGATGATCTCCCATAATGCGTTGCGTGAAACATGCTTGTGGGGCTCTCATGCACGTGCACAGAGAGGCTCGGCCGCGCTCTGACCAATCAGAGCAGTTCATCAGAGCGAAGTCAGAGCGGGAGCCAGACGAGCAGAGTTTGCGGCACTAAAGTGTGGAAGAAAACCGAAGGATTTAAGAAGAAAAAAGTTCAGGATGACAAGGGACACTAAAATCCCCACAAAATCCGACCTTTATTAAAGCTGTAGGTTCTCTGTCAGGTTCTCTGTCAGCTGAGGGAGCACTGTTTTAGTTTACAGTGAGTTATATGGGAACATGTCTGGGTAGCCCACATGAATTTAGTCTGGTCTAGTCTGCAGTACCGCGAGAATCCCCCGAGCACATGAGTTCTTCAGCTCCAAGCTAGTAATACCCTATCCAGTTATTATAATAGATCCATGGTTTACCCCCTTTACCCTCTTCCTGTTTCTCACGAGTGTGCGCACATGAGTTGTCAGATTTTCTAAAACCTAAAAGGGCTGAACAGAAAATGCCAATTTCACGTTTGCCGCCCACTCTCCCTGTTGTGACAAAGAAAAGAAAATGCTGGCTGTTTGGTTTGGTGGCGAGGGGAGGGGGAGTGGTTTCCAGTTGGTGCTGCGGCTAAGCTAACAAAATCGCTTACTGCACCTTTAAATAGTCCAGGTGAAACAACAAATGTTCCAGGGCTTGTGTGCACCGGCGGTTCACAGCTAATGCTAACATCTCTCGAATTTCTCGCTAAAGCTACAAAAAAATTTTCTCGGCGCCTCACTGAGTATAACTGTTACTATGGCTAAAAACCAAATGGACCTTAAAATGGCCTCTTTAAAAAGACATGCTTATGAACACTAATTGACAATATCTTCATTAACAATATCGACAATGCTTTCCACAGTGGTTTGTTATTAAGTGATATCACAGATCATTTGCCGGTTTTCATCATTTGTGATTTACAGCCCAAAAAGAACACAAGGGACATAGGGAAATCTAAAAGTGTCCGTTCTCGGTCAGAGGAGGATATAAACTCTTTTAGGAGTGATCTGATAAAGCAGGACTGGGGTACAGTTTTTGTGGCTGATGCCAACAATGCCTACGAAGAATTTTTGAACATTTATCAAACTCTCTACAACAGGAATTGTGCCCTAAAAATGTTGAAGGGGAACAGATATGATAAAAAAAAGCCATGGATAACTCCTGGGTTGCAGAAGGCCTGTAAAAAGAAAAACAAATTATACAGAGACTTCATCAAGTATAGAACTAAAAATCATGAAATGAAGTACAAAGGGTATAAGAACAAGTTAACAAGTATAATGTGACTGGCAAAAAAAGACTATTACAAAATTAAGTTAAACGAGAATAAGAGCAATATTAAAGAAACCTGGAAAACTCTCAAAAAGGTGATGAATCCAAATCCTCCAAATAAAAATCTGCCGGATTACTTTGTGCAGAGTGGAAATGTAATTAACAATGGAGTAGATATTGCGGAGGGGTTCAATTCTTTTTTTGTTAACGTCGGCCCTAATATTGCTAAGAAGCTTGAAAACTCAAACCATAGTAGAAGCCAAAAAAAAGGTGGAGGAAGCCGAATTTTACAGTCAATGTTTCTTGATGAAATAACAGAAGCTGGAATTCTGGACATTGTTCGAAAATGCAAAAATAAAACTTCTAGTGATAGTGACGGGATAGACATGAGCATTGTAAAAAGGACAATGCCTACTTAAACCTTTGAGCTATATACTTAACCTTTCTCTCCGTACAGTTTCCCACAAAACATGAAGACAGCTAAGATAATACCTATTTTCAAAAATAGCGACCGGTACAAATCTAACAATTACAGACCCATTTCACTCCCACAGTTTTCAAAAATATTAGAAAAATGGTTTACTCACAAGTTAGATTTACTCTTTGATTATCAACACGGGTTCAGATCTCAAAGATCAACATCTACTGCACTCATTTACTTAACAGAAAAAATACTTATTGATAAAAAAGAATATTTTGTAAGCGTCTTTTTGGACTTACAAAAGGTGTTACTGTTAGCAAAATTACAAAACTACGGAATTAGGGTCAGATCCATAAATGGCCTGAAAGTTATTTAACCAAAGACAGCAATTTGTCCAATTTGATAGTTATAGTTCTGAATGTAAATCTGTTTTGTGTGGAATCCCTCATGGCTCTGTAATTGGGCCCAAACTTTTTATATTATTTATTCATGAAATTTACGAGGCTTCTAAAGATCTAAATGTTTTGTTATTTGCTGATGATACCACAGTATTTAATACAGGGAAGGATCTAAATGGATTAATGGAAAACATTGAAGGGGAAATGGTCAAATTAAAAGTGGTTCGATTACAACAAATTATTTCCAAACTGGGATAAAAGTTGTTATATGATTTTTGGGAAAAAGAATCCACAATTATCAGTCCAATTAATTATTGATAATGTAAACATTGAGTGTGTTTCAGAAGTCAAATTTTTGGGGGTAATCCTTGATAACAAACTCTGTTGGAAGTCACATATTGACTACATCAGAAAAAAAGTAAGTAAAAGTATTGGCATATTGTATAAGGTCAGACATACTCTGGACAAGGCTTCATTGATGTTATATACAACTTTAATTGTTCCTTATTTTAACTATTGCATCGAGGTTTGGGGAAATGCTAGTATTATGGCCACAGAAACGTTATATCTACTTCAAAAGAAAGCCGTAAGAATCATCTGCCACAAAGGCCCCAGAGACCACACAAATAATCTCTTCACACAATTACAACTCTTGAAATTCAAAGATCTTGTTCACTTCAAAATGACTCAAACAATGTGGAGGGTGAAGAACAAGTTGGTGCCAGTGCACATCCATAATAAATTCTTTTTAATCACAGACAGTAGTAACAGAAGGAAAGGACATTTTTGTGTGCCTTTTTCACGCACCACTTTGAAGAAAGGTTTCCTTGCAGCAGGTATTAAGCTTTGGAACTCTCTGGATCCTTGTGAACAATCAACACCATTGTACAGTTGAAGAAAATGTATTAAAAAAAAGTACTTGCAAATTATGGTAAATGATTGGTTGTTCAAAAATCCTACAAAATAGAGGTAAACACAATAAAATCAACAATAACTACAGCAAAGTGTAAGATTGTTATGTGTAAAGGAAAAAATATATATATAAAAATAAAATAATAATAATGATAATAAACATATAAAGGCGTGCCATCCCATTTTTAATCTGTCATCTGAATACTGTGTTAAGGGGCATGAAACATAAGACTTTGTCTTCCACATGCTCCTATTCAGCAACATGTCATGGATTTGAACTATTTGTGTTCTTATTATTTTCATTATGATTGTAATAATGTCATGGCTGAATAAATAATCAAAATAAAATAAAATGAAACGGTTTTCAAGCTATGCTAGCAGTGAAACAGTTGAGCTTGGTAATAGCTATGATGCTAATAGCATCTCAGAGCAGCTGCAATTGTTTTATTTTTCATAATTCTTTCATTTTCATCACAAAGCTATAGAGTTTATGCTGGTAAATAAATTGAGTCCTGTTTTACCCGATGATAATAATAACAATAATAATAATGCATCGGTTTTATATAGCGCTTTTCTGGACAGCGCTTTTCTACTACTGTAGCCACAGCTGCCCTGGGGCACACTGACAGAAGCAAGGCAACCAGTATGTGCCATCGGCCCCTCCGACCACCACCAACCATTCACACACACACCAGACTCATTCTAGGCAATGGGGGTAAAGTGTCTTGCCTAAGGACACAACAGCAGTTTGGCACTTTACAGCCGCAGCCGCCCCACTGTGGCTGGTGTTCCCAGAGGTTAAGTGTCTTGCCCAAGGACACAACGACAGCAGAAAGTGGAAGTCGATTGTGAAAGTGCGGGCTCAAACCCACGACCCTCTGGCTCAAAGGCCAATGCTCTACCAACTGAGCTACTGTCGCTTCGATCTGATGGCTTTGTTTCACTGATACATTGAGGTAAAAATCACATTCGTTCTTCATCGTGCCTTTGTTCAAATCAGTGGCTTGTGCTCAGTGGCGCCTCCACATGGGGACCGAAGGAGTAGCGGAACCATATTTGGGCATTTTGTGGTCCTCCTGGTTCTGCGCTGTGGAACAAGCTCCCATGATGCTTTGTGCCAAATACGTGTGTGTGGCTCTCATGCACGTGCACAGAGGAGAGCATTCTGACCAATCAGAGGGCAGCGTTCTGACCAATCAGAGCTGCTGATCAGAGCGGAGTGAGAGCAGGAGACAAACGAGCAGAGGAAGGATTTAACAAGAAAAAAGTTAAGTTGAGGACTACAAGAGACAAGCAACAGGCTTCTACCACTGCGCTGCCGAACGGAACGTTTCAAGAGATCCTTTGTTCCTTCGGCTGTCAGACTGTACAACAAACCTGGATGAATCTTCTGCTATTTATCCTACAGGGATCAATGAAGTATCTATCTATCTAACATCCACAGAATCCTCCTTTATGAAAGCAGTAGGTTCTCTGTCAGGTTCTCTGTCAGCTGAGGTCTGTTTTAGTTTACATTGTGTTCTATGGAGATTTTTCTGGATAACGTGAGTACGAGTACCTTAATCTGAGTACTTGCCGATACCGAGACAAATACTGCATTCCTGGGAATTCATAAAAGTGATACAACTGAAATTTATAATGTTTTATTTATCATTTCAACAATAAGAAAATGCAACGGTGCAAAGGAGCGAGAGAGAGACCATAGAGGGACCAGAGAGAGACCAAAGGGAGACCAGGAGGAGACCAAGAGAAAGATCAGAGAGAGAGACATCAGAGAGAGACCAGAGAGAGATCAGAGGGAGACAAGAGAGCGAGACCAGAGAGAGACCAGAGGGAGACAAGAGAGCGAGACCAGAGAGAGACCAGAGAGAGACCAGAGGGAGACAAGAGAGTCTGGTATTGAGTCCAATGGTATAGAGTCAAGTACAAGCCTTACACCCTTCCATTTTCTTCCCCTAATCCATTTCTGCTTCAGGGGGGCGGCAGTCAGCTGCACCCAGTTTACAGAGCACCAGCTCCTCACTGCTCCTCCTGCTCCTCTTGCTCCTCGCTGCTGCTCCTTAGGGCTTTTGCAGGGGCGTTCCAATGTTTGTTTGTTTTTACTGTAAAAGGTCAAAGAGGTTGAATAAGTTGTTCTTGTGTTGCAGGCATTACCCTCTGGGACCATGAGAAGCTGAAGGAGGACATGAAAGAGAGGCTGCAGCCCAACAGTGAGTTTGAGATCGTGGCATCTGAATCCATCTCAGACAAGTCCTCGTCTCTGGGAGTGGACGCTGCTCTGAAGGCCAGTTTCTTCTGTGGATTTATCAAGGTCGACGGCTCGGCCAAATACCTGAAGGACACGCGAACATCCAAACAACAAGCGCGAGTCACTCTGAAGTACAAAACCACCACACGCTTCAGAGAGCTGACCATGAACCTGCTGGGCACAGGAAACATCGAGCATCCGTACATCTTTGAAAAAGGTCTGGCCACACATGTGGTCACTGCCATTCTCTATGGAGCTCAGGCCTTCTTTGTGTTTGACCGAGAAGTGTCAGACTCTGAAAACATCCGAGACATTCAAGGAAACCTGCAGGTGATGATAAAGAAGATCCCCTGCATCTCTATCGAAGAACAAGGAGCTCTCAAAATGGAGGACAAGGACGAAGAAAAAGTCAACAGGTTTTCCTGCAAATTCCACGGAGATTTCAATCTGTCCCAGAGCCCAATGACGTTTGAAGATGCAGTGAACGTTTACAAGAACCTGCCCAAACTTCTGGGTCCAGATGGAGAGAAGGCTGTGCCGGTGACAGTGTGGCTGTTGCCGCTCACCAAACTTGACTCTACTGCGGCTCAGCTGGTGGGGCAGATCAGTGTGGGGCTGGTGTTTGAGGTAGAAAGAATCCTGGAGCATCTGGCCGACCTGGACATGAGGTGTCAGGATGTTTTAAAAAGTGCAGCGCTACAGCAGTTTGATCAGATATCCACAAAGATCAGAACCTTTATGAGCTTGTGCTCACAGTTTAACCTGGAACTCCAGGGTATTCTGGCTCAGAAACTCAAGGCGATCCGTAAAGTAGGAGAGGACGAAATAGAACTGGCTGAGATTCTGAAAAAAAGAGCTGCTTCTCCATTCAGCCGGGACTGTCTGAACCAGTGGGTCAGCTGCAAAGTCAAAGAGATCAACCTCATCAAAACATTCACTAATATGATGAAGCACACAGAAGTCCTCTCCTCTCAGGAGGAGCTGGATGCCACTAACCACAGCATTAAATATGCAGTTTGCTTTGTTTTCACCTCGCTGGAAACTGAAGAGGAATATCTCTCAGCTTTGGATCAGTACTTAAAAGGTGTCAGCTTAGACCAGAACAGCCCTCGGCCCAAACACCTGGAGAAGCAGCAGTGGTACAGCAACAAAGACGTGCGAGAGGCCATCAGGACCAAGGTGAAGCTCTTTGCAGACTTTGCAGAAGCCAACAAAGACAATAAAGACGTGAAGTTTACAGCAGTGGCTTTTAAAGATGAAACTCATAAAGGATCAACAATCTACAAATATGAAGAGGGATTTGAAGTTTGTTATGACTTTGTGCCTCCTTCGAAGCCTGAAGTTAAAGTGGATGTTGTTACACATAACAGTGTGACTCTTCGTGTTAACGCCCCCACATGGGGAGCAGAGGTAGTGACAGGCTACAGGCTAGAGTACAGAGAGAATGAAGAGTCCAGTGTAAACAGAGAGTGGCAGCAGCAGTCTGTTGCTATCACCGGTTTAACCACAGTCACTGAGCTGAACCCAGACACAGAGTACACCTTCAGATTGAGGGCCATCACTGAAATAGGACAGGGGCCCATGAATGAACTCACCTACAAAACTTGTCCTACCCCAGAGGGCCCCAGATGTATTGCAGATGAGGTGAGGAAAACCTGTGAAGTCCTGGAGACCAAAGGATCTTTGCAGATCCTGAAGGTTCCACTGCAGAAGGACGAAATGAACATTCCTGGCTGTGCACGGTTCAACTTCGGCTCTGAGGTTCCAGGAAAGAAAACCCGCACCATAATGATGATGGGAACCACTGGAGCTGGTAAATCCACCCTCATCAACGGAATGATCAACTACATCCTGGGCGTGCAGTGAACGGACAATTACAGGTTCAAACTGGTGGTGGAAGAAGAGAAGTCTCAGAGTCAGACATCAGTGGTGACTGTTTACAGAATCAACTTTGACGAAGGCTTCATGATCGACTACTCTCTGAACATCATCGATACTCCAGGCTTTGGGGACACTTGGGTCATTAAAAGAGACCATGAAACCATTGAGCAGATCCGGAACCTCTTCTCCAACAACTCTGGGGTGGATGTCATTCACACCGTGTGCTTTGTAGCTCAGTCTGCTCTTGCTCGCCTCAGCGACACACAGTGTTACATGTTTGATTCTATCCTCTCCATCTTTGGGAAGGACATGGCTGAAAACCTCAGGGTTCTGGTGACTTTTGCAGACAGACAACTGCCTCCAGTTCTAGAAGCCATCACAGCCGCAGGAGTCCCATGCCCCAAAGACAAAGACGGAAAACCTGCTCACTATAGATTCAACAACTCTGCACTTTTTGTTGAAAATCCAAGTTCTGTGGTTGGTTTTGATGAGATGTTCTGGAACATGGGGAGAGCCAGCATGAAAAGCTTCTTTGATGCACTGAGTGAGACTGAACCTAAGATTTTGAATCTGACTAAAGAGGTTCTGAGAGAAATAACACAGCTTGAAGAGACTGTGGAAAATCTACAGAGGATAATAAAAGAAAAGTTAGAACAGCAAGACAAGATTCTGCAACTCCAAGAACAAATCAAGAAGCATGAGGCTGAGATCGAGACAAACACAGATTTTGAGATTACAATTAAAGTAATCAGGCCAGTTCAGACGAGCATCGCGGGCACAGGGAACTTCATCACCAACTGCTCCCGATGTCACCACACCTGCCATTACCCATGTTCAGGGGGAAACGATTCAGATAAAAAAGGCTGTTCTGTAATGAACTCAGATGGAAACTGCACAAAGTGTCCTGGTAAATGCATCTGGAGCGATCATCACAACCAGAAGTACAGATGGGAGTACAACGAGGTCACTGAGATGACAACTGTAGACTGGCTAAAGGAAAGATATCAACAAGGGACAGAGGAAGGACCAACTACCGAAGGTTTAGTCGTGATCCTGCAGAAGAAATATCAACTGGCTGGCAGCCGCTTGAGCAGAATAATTCAGGAAGCCACTGCAGCCGTAAACCGTCTGGGAGAGATCGCTCTGAGGCCCAACCCTCTGTCCCCTCCCGACTACATCGACATGATGATAGAGTCAGAGAAGAGTCAGAGAAATCCAGGGTGGAGGCAGAGAGTGAAGGGTCTGGAGGAGCAGAAGGAGGAGGACCGCTGGCTGAAAAGTGATGTAAGTGTGACAAAATAACTTTTTTAGAACAGGTAGAAAAGAGTAACAGCTCAAAGGGATGTAGTTATGGCTTTAATATAAGATAAACTTTTTTTCATCTCACAATGGAGAAATTGTGAGATGAAAACAATCACAATGGATTGTGTTGTTCATGATGGAGGTGACTTTGACTAGCACCTCTTATCCCTCACCTCCTCCACAGAGTCCAGGGGGCAGCCCAGAGTGGAGCTGGCCCTCCTGACCAGCTTGTTCAGTCTGCTCCTGTCCCGCTCTGTGCTGCCCGGGGCCCAGCACACGGCAGCGTAGTAAATGGCAGAGTCTACCACAGAGTCATAAAAAGTCCTGAGCAGAGGCCTGCTCACTCCGAAGGACCTCAGCCTCCTCAGAAGGAAGAGGCGACTTTGGCCCTTCTTGTACAGGGCGTTGGTATTATGGACCAGTCCAGTTTATTGTTAATGTGAACACCCAGGTACTTGAAGCTGTCCACCAGCTCAATGTCCTCCCCCTGGATGTTCAGCAGTGTGTGGGAAAGTGGTTTTCTCCTGAAGTTGATGATCATCTCCTTGGTCTTACTGGTGTTTAAGCACAAGTGGTTTCGCTCGCACCAGTTGACAAAGTCCGTGATAACTGACCAATATTCCAGTTGGTTCCCCTCAGACACACAACCCACAATGGCGGAGACGTTGGAAAACTTCTGCAGGTGACAGCTGTGTGTGTCGTGTGTGAAGTGGAGATGGAGAGGGGGGAGAATCGAACCGGTTAAATTCGTCCACCCGGTGCTGCTCTCCATCCGGTGTCCCTCTGGCACTCTGTTCGAAACCAGAGATGATCTTTAAGCCTCTTCACACGTCCCGGCCTGTTTTTTTTAAACATCAAAAGTACTTTATTAAGATGTGTCCAAAATGCAACACTTGTTTGACAACGTTATGAGACGTTACAGCTGCATAATTAATCATACTACATTGCAATGCAGAGGTTTTAGAAATAATATGAAAGTATTCAACGGACAAAAAAGCTGCCAGTGTTGGGGAGAAATTACATGTGCAAAGAAAAAAAATATTCAGAATTCATTCATTTTGAGTATATGTAGAATTCAGTGTAATCCCCCTTACACTGTTGGTTTGAAGCTTCCCATGTAAAGTGAGAGACAACCAGTGATAGATGTAAAATCAGTGTTGGTCATTTCCCTGCGCCCTAATCGGTCAAAAGGCATTAATAGAACCTGCTCTTTCCAATACTTATTTAACTGATAACAGTAGTTCAGAGATATTTGATTGCAACATTTGTTTTCCAGTCCCTAAATCTTATTCTTATTGTTTTCATTTCGACTTCCCGCCCTCCACAGTTTTACCAATCAGAAGGTCCGTGATCCGGATTGCCAGAACTCACCGCGTGGAGCTAATCTCACTGGTAAAGTACCATGTGGCGCAGAATTAAAAACGGTCTCGTTATGATTCTCAAATCATTAACGACAAAACAAGGAATAAAACCAGGATTTCTATCTTTGTGAAAAAGGTGTTGGTTATAGATTTGTGGTTGACAAAACTCTTGTCTATTCAGCTGTTATGGTCCCAGCTGGATTCGTCTGCATATCTGGCAACCTGAGTCAGGGAGAGTGGGAGAGGCTGCAGTACCACTTTTGGCCATATTTTTACAGACTGCTCCTTTAAGAAACCTGCACGTTTTAAAACAGACGCTTTTAAGAGTCAGGTTTTGATCAAGTTCAGCACAGTTTGAGGCGATGGTGTGGACGCGGCTTCTCACTACTTCTTGTTCTAATATTAATTCATATAGTGCTCATTTGGACGCTCAAAGACGCTTAAAATATAATTCTTGTCTTTTCCTTTTTCAGCTCGAGGAACAAGTGGAACAGGAGGCGCAAGGGGAGCATCAAGCCATCTAACTGCTTTGGAACATTTACTTTTTAATCTGCGCAGTTGTTTGTGTTTACATGAAACGGAATACTCTATTTACTATATACTGTGTTTAGTTTTCATTATGGGATTATTGGAGGGTGTAAGTAAATCAGAGCAAGGCAAAGAACCTACAAGCTGGGCTATCAGGGCTGGACCAGGTGGAGGCAGGACGGAGTAGGACCAGCGAAGGACGGAGCAGGACCAGGACAGGACAGAGCAGGACCAGGACAGGACAGAGCAGGACCAGGACAGGACAGAGCAGGACCAGGACAGGACAGAGCAGGACCAGTGCAGGACAGATCAGGACCAGGACAGGACAGAGCAGGACCAGGACAGGACAGATCAGGACCAGTGCAGGACAGAGCAGGACCAGGACAGGACAGAGCAGGACCAGGACAGGACAGATCAGGACCAGGACAGGACAGATCAGGACCAGGACAGGACAGAGCAGGACCAGTGCAGGACAGAGAAGGACCAGGAAAGGACAGAGCAGGACCAGGACAGGACGGAGCAGGACCAGGAAAGGACAGAGCAGGACCAGGACAGGACAGAGCAGGACCAGGACAGGACAGAGCAGGACCAGTGCAGGACAGAGCAGGACCAGGACAGGACAGAGCAGGACCAGGACAGGACAGATCAGGACCAGGACAGGACAGATCAGGACCAGGACAGGACAGAGCAGGACCAGTGCAGGACAGAGCAGGACCAGGAAAGGACAGAGCAGGACCAGGACAGGACGGAGCAGGACCAGTGCAGGACAGAGCAGGACCAGGAAAGGACAGATCAGGACCAGGACAGGACAGAGCAGGACCAGGACAGGACGGAGCAGGACCAGGAAAGGACAGAGCAGGACCAGGACAGGACAGAGCAGGACCAGGACAGGACTGAGCAGGACCAGGACAGGACAGATCAGGACCAGGACAGGACAGATCAGGACCAGGGCAGGACAGAGCAGGACCAGTGCAGGACAGAGCAGGACCAGGAAAGGACAGAGCAGGACCAGGACAGGACGGAGCAGGAGCAGGAAAGGACAGAGCAGGAACAGTGCAGGACAGAGCAGGACCAGTGCAGGACAGAGCAGGACCAGGACAGGACAGAGCAGGACCAGGGCAGGACAGAGCAGGACCAGTGCAGGACAGAGCAGGACCAGGACAGGACAGAGCAGGACCAGGGCAGGACAGAGCAGGACCAGGACAGGACAGAGCAGGACCAGGACAGGACAGATCAGGACCAGTGCAGGACAGATCAGGACCAGTGCAGGACAGAGCAGGACCAGTGCAGGACAGAGCAGGACCAGGACAGGACAGAGCAGGACCAGGGCAGGACAGAGCAGGACCAGGACAGGACAGAGCAGGACCAGTGCAGGACAGATCAGGACCAGTGCAGGACAGATCAGGACCAGTGCAGGACAGAGCAGGACCAGGACAGGACAGAGCAGGACCAGTGCAGGACAGATCAGGACCAGTGCAGGACAGAGCAGGACCAGGACAGGACAGAGCAGGACCAGGACAGGACAGAGCAGGACCAGTGCAGGACAGAGCAGGACCAGGACAGGACAGAGCAGGACCAGGACAGGACAGAGCAGGACCAGTGCAGGACAGAGCAGGACCAGGACAGGACAGAGCAGGACCAGGACAGGACAGAGCAGGACCAGGACAGGACAGAGCAGGCCTCGCTGTTGTGTCCGTCGCCGCTGTTGTCACCTTTGCATAACTGTTGCATCTAATGTTATTTTTAGTATAGTTATTATTAGTAGTAGTGGTGGAATGAGAATAGTAAATATAATTAAGAATCATCGTTCATGGAAAGTTGAAATTATCTGGTTTGAGCTATTTTTGTACTTTTGGTGCCGGTCAGCCGTCTAATTTGTTAAAGCGGCTATATAAGAATGGTGCAGGAGTTTATAAGATTTGTTTTTCTTCCTCCTGCTCCTGTTCTTCCTTTCATGGGATGTACTACTGTTGTATTTGCTGGATCACTGTCATATTGTGTTGCATTACCATGAATAAAGGGAACTAATCAATACAATAAATACAAATGAAAAAAGTGTCAGTGACTGGAAGAGTTTTCGGGTCTGGCACAGCTGAGCTCACTCAGGGTTAGGGGCAATACCACCCGGGTCAGGGTTAGGGGCAATACCACCCGGGTCAGGGTTAGGGGCAATACCACCCGGGTCAGGGTTAGGGGCAATACCACCCGGGTCAGGGTTAGGGGCAATACCACCCGGGTCAGAGTTAGGGGCAATGCCACCCGGGTCAGGGTTAGGGGCAATGTCACCCGGGGTCAGGGTTAGGGGCAATACCACCCGGGTCAGGGTTAGGGGCAATACCACCCGGGTCAGGGGGGTTAGGGGCAACGCCACCCGGGGTCAGGGTTAGGGTTAGGGGCAATACCACCCGGGTCAGGGTTAGGGGCAATACCACCCGGGTCAGGGGGGTTAGGGGCAACGCCACCCGGGTCAGGGTTAGGGTTAGGGGCAATACCACCCGGGTCAGGGTTAGTTTAGTTTAGTTTAGTTTTAGTTTAGTTTATTCACAATTCACACAGTCCCTAAAAGTACATGTGTTTCATTGTGAAAATGGAACTCCCAGAAGCAGAAGCTTTTACATTAGGGGTCCATCACACCACCACCACCACCACCACCACCACCACCACAGTCACAAACCTACAGTCAGACATACAATCATCATAATATAAATAATAATAATAATAATAATAAAAAGTAACTAGTGCTCCCAGAATACATAAGTAATAATAATAATAATAACGACAATAAAGATAATAATCCTAAATCAATAACAATAATAGATAAATAAAGAATAAGAAATAATAACATCTTCACCACACTTCAAGGAAGTACAGAACACTTTGGCAGGCAAAGCTGCTGAATGCTCATCTCCGCTACTAATAATAATTATATAGTAATGATAAGAATAATATTTAATGTATTCCTAATATGTAGTTGTAAGTGTTTGCAGCTGGAGTTTACTGTAGGGTAACTTCTGCCAGCCCTGAGATCATGGCTGTGAAAGAGAGATCTACCTCTCGCCTCAAACAGATACAAAATAGAGAGTGGTTCAAGACTCTTTGTGCTTCAACGCTTTCATGCTGTCACATACCTCCCCAGTAGATGAGCCTTCAGTTCCCTCTTAAATTTGGATAATGTGGCACATTGCTTTAGGGGAAATACCACCCGGGTCAGGGTTAGGGGCAATGCCACCCGGGTCAGGGTTAGGGGCAACGCCACCCGGGTCAGGGTTAGGGGCAACGCCACCCGGGTTAAGGTTAGCGGCAATACAACCCGGGTAAGGGTCAATACAGTGCCTTGCGAAAGTATTCGCCCCCCTTGAACCTTTCAACATTTCGCCACATTTCAGGCTTCAAACATAAAGATATAAAATTTAAAATTTTTGTCATGAATCAACAACAAGTGGGACACAATCGTGAAGTGGAATGAAATTTGTTGGATAATTTAAACTTTTTTAACAAATAAAAAACTGAAAAGTGGGGCGTGCAATATTATTCGGCCCCTTTACTTTCAGTGCAGCAAACTCAGTCCAGAAGTTCAGTGAGGATCTTTGAATGATCCAATGTTGTCCTAAATGACTGATGATGATAAATAGAATGCACCTGTGTGTAATCAAGTCTCCGTATAAATGCACCTGCTCTTTGATAGTCTCAGGGTTCTGTTTAAAGCGCAGAGAGAACCATGAAGACAAAGGAACACACCAGGCAGGTCCGAGATACTGTTGTGTTTATAAATTTCACTCGCGAGGATGCGAAGGAGAGTGAACTCGCCTTTCTAGATTGTAAGGTCATCATACTGGAGAACGGACAATTAGAGACTGAGGTCTTCAGAAAGTCCACTCACACTGACCAGTACTTGGCCTTTGATTCAAATCATCCGCTACAACACAAACTCGGGATCATTAGACCGCTTCAACACCGAGCCCACCAGGTCCCCACTAGCTCGGAGGGAAAGAACAGAGAAACCAAACATGTTCAGAGAGCACTTTCCAGATGTGGCTACCCCAAGTGGTCTTTTACTAAAGCCCAAAGGACGAGAAAAGCCAGAGACACAGTCCAACAGACAGAAGAAAGTAGGAGGAGAGGGGTGTCCTTACCGTATGTGGCGGGAGTTTCAGAGAAACTACAAAGAATCTTTAGGCAACACAAAATCCCTGTGTATTTCAAACCTTTCAACACGTTAAGACAGAAATTAGTGCATCCCAAAGACAAAACACCCAGACACAAACAGAGCAATGTGGTGTATTCAATTAAATGTAGTGAAGAGGAGTGCACTGACCTCTATATTGGAGAAACCAAACAAACTCTACAGAAACGACTTTCAACATCGTAGAGAAAACTCTAGTGGGCCACAGTCGGCTGTTCATCTCCACCTCAAGGCCTCCAACCACACGGTGGATGACACAGAGGTTAAAATTCTGGCTCGGGAGAAGAATTGGTTTGAGAGAGGAGTGAAAGAAGCCATTTTTGTGAGGAAACAAAAACCTTCTCTTAACAGAGGAGGAGGGTTAAGATTTGTTTTGCCTCGCATCTATGACGACATCCTAAAAACAACGCCCTAACTTGGGACAAGGTCAGTGACATGCTAATGAGTTAGGAGGGGTGAGACCTGCACTCCACTTGAGCATCCCAGCAGACAATAGGTCTGTGACATGCTAATGAGTTAGGGTCGTTAGCCTCAGCAGGGTCGTTAGACCTGCTCCCTTCTACATCAAGCAGACCGTAGATTGTTTATGAGTTAGTATCAGGATTAGGGTGTGGCTAACCACACCCATAGGTTATAAATCTCCAACGCGCGGTCCGAGAATTCATTCCCTGAAGAAGTCCGCTAGGTTGAGGACGAAACGTTGGGAAAACTTGCTAAGAAGTACAGATGATGGGTGAGAAACCTTCCTTTGCTTTACCTTCTGAATGTTCCACACACATTAACACACACACACAAAGAGGGAGAAACACAGAG